GCTGTTCAGTGCGAGGCAAGTCTCCGCTGCCCTCTTAACGGCGAGCACCAATAACCCTTGTGAAATCATGATAAATTATCCACACTCACGTTCACGCGCCTCTCTTATAGACACAACTTTTGTTGTTGATCTCCGAATAATTGGATATGACAAATTTTATATAAATAATTATAACGAGAGAACCCATGCTGTTACATAGCATTGCAAATGACGCTCTCGTAAACCTTAGTTGAATACAGGGGATTACAAAAATATGAAAATAATAGATTGAAGATTTTCTTCTAATTTAAAAATGTAATTGAAAGTCGAGTTCAATGTTCATAATTAACTTCCACCAATGTAATAAAGTGTGTGTGCTGTGTGAGCAAAAGCTCAAATGAAAAATATCGTCTCAGCGAATGTTTTTATGCAAAAATTAATCGCGCACGTCAAAAATAAAAAGCAGCCAAGTGCGAGTCGGACTAGTGCACGAAGAGTTCCGTACCATTATTCAAAAAACGGCAAAAAATAACGTATGGGAGCCCGTCGTTTTTGTATGTGTTAAATATTTATTTTATTCTGTTTTAGTATTTGTTGTTATAGCAGCAACAGAAATGCATCATCTGTGTAAATTTTAACTGTTTAAATATCACGGTTCATGAGATACAGCCTGGGGACAGACGGACAGACAGACATACAGCGGAGTCTTAGTAATAGGGTCCCGTTTTATTTGGGTACGGAATCCTAAAAATGGCGTGAGGGGTCTATGGTCCCCCGATCGGAACGAAGTTCCTTTAGCTTTTTAATAAACGTTGATAAAACTATACTACAGGACATCTTTATATGCAATATAATTATATAGGCCCGCTCCGTTCCTGCCGGCCGTTGCCACACGGGATGGACGTAGGGCCCGAAGGCGACGCTTTGCCCCCGCATCTTAAACCTCTATTTTCTTCTAAAATATTCATTTTAATGATATGCTGTAAATTTTAATCTGCATTAAATGCACAATGTATCTAACGTATTTTATTGGACAAGGAATAATAATGTATTGTTGAAAATAGCTTCGTAAATAACCCTTAAATGTGGTTTATAATTATGAGATAGACATTGACCTTATTAAGATATACAATTCCGAAGTACATTATTTGGGTCTATCTCGTAAGGTTTAGCCAACATTTGCAATGTCAGCGCACACAAACATGTTTTTTAAGACAAATCTTTAAAATTCTAGAATTTTCTGTACTAAAATATGCATGTATTATACATATATATTTCCTTCCTTCCTCTTTATTGGTGTAAACCGTTTTAAAATCTGTTGCTTAGTTTAAAAGATCGATTGATCGTGTCGACAAAAAGTCTTGTTACATATTTTTCGGTCTCGCTCCCATCCGCTCAGGTGTAACGCGCGATAAGGAGCTTTGGTCCAAAAAATAAACCTTTGAAAATATAAGATATATAAAGGGGGTAACTCTTTATAGTTAGGTTATGTTTAATTGTAGATAACAAATCTGTGCACCAATACATTTTATTTTATTTCTTTCTTAGCATAAAAACAACATTATATGACCGGCTAATATCCCTGTCCTAGTGGCTACATTTATACCAATTCACCTAAACTTCTACTGAACATTTTTTCGATGTTTTTTCAACAGATTGTAAAAGGCGCATATAATATTTTAAAAATGTTAAACCGGTAAAAATAATGAAGGATCTCCAATAGTGTACATTTTTCTCACATCCATGTATCTCACGTCGCCGTATGAGCGCCACTTAAAGTCGCAGCCTTCACATTATTAATGAGGGAGTCTTAGAGAAAATTAAATATAGCATTAGGCCCGGAAGCCCGGGATTGTGGGGGCAAGGGAGGGAAGAAACAGGGGCAACAGCGGCAACATAACCCTTCTAGAGAACGCGACAATGCGGGTGCATAATTACGCATTTGTAAATTTTAAATGTCCCACCCACCTCATACAACCTTTTGTATGACGTGATTCGCACTCACTGTACGCTTTAAACGTTTTCAAATGGATTCGTATGATGACTCCCGCACAATTAACTCCTAATGCCTTGTGTAATTTTATGACTTTATGTCAGTATTCAGTACAATTATTCGAAAATACTTTTGGATTGAGTTTGAAGTATTTAAACAATAACACCTAAAATTATATTTAAATTTCATTAAAAATAAAAAATCATCAAAAACAACGACCAGAAGAAAAACAATCGAAAATCTTTCAGAATTGTAAGTTTCTAATTCGCTGATATGAATTAGAATTTTAAATTCATGTCTAGTTTTTTAAATATCCTTATAAAGTAACAGACTGTTTGACTATCTTAAAGTCAGGTACGACTGGACATTTTTTCTGCCATTACTCTCTCTTTTCTTCCTTTTGTCTGCTGATTCGTTAACATGGTTGTAGCTAAATTAATTAGTAATATCAAAATGTACAAACTAATAATATTGTTAATATACTCCGTTCTTCGAAGTAACTTATACGTACAATGGTTCTTATGGCATGATTTCCAATCTATACAAATAAATAAAATTTAAGTTTCTGTTTGTAATATCAAAATAATAGGTTTTTTTCATGCTTACACTGTTATTTGCACGTTACCTATGCCCAAAAACCAGTTTAAATACTTTTCGTCTGTCTGTCTTTCTGTCTGTTTGCTCCGGGTAATCTTCAAAACGACTGAACCGATGTTGATAATATTTTACTACCAAGTAGCTGTCTATATAAGGAGTAACTTAAGCTATTTTTTCTCTCAGAAAAACCCTTTAAAATTTTACCTGGTCCGGGAATCGAACTCACTAAGGCAGCGCTTTGCAAATTCCACGCAAACGAAGTCGCGGGCATCAGATAGCTAGCAGCTCGTCAATCTTAGTACGAGATAAAGAAGTTACAATATTATCCATTGTAACGTCTTTATGCATCAAATATACATAATTAATTAGTTCAAATAGATAACAACATGAATACGATATAAGTATAAGATACATATTATACGAAAGTGCCTCGGTGCTGCAGTGGTAGCGTGTGCGACTGCTGTGCTGAGGTCTCGGGTTCGATTCCGTCGTACTTGTATAATCTACAAAAACTTGTTTAGGAGTTTGGGTGTTTTCTATGTGTAATAAAAGTATTCTATCAGTTAATCTAGCTTTCTCAATATAAGCTTTGCTTAGTTTAAACCTAGATGGCGTTGTGTGTCAGATGTCCGAAAATATTATGAATATATACATTGTACTAAACTAGTTATGGTCATAAATTTCTAAATACATAATTTTCATTATATTCGTTAATTGTTAGATAGATAATAATTAGCTGATAGAACATATCGCCAATACTCCAATAACATTATCTCTCCAATAGAGTACTGATGACTAATAGGGTAGTCTTTTTTAACGGAATGAGGAGCAAACGACTAGACGGGTCACCTTATGCTGACTAACTCCTGACACCTACAACTCAACAGATAAAAGTGAGTTGCAGTCCTTTGAGTGCTTTTCCAAAGAATAGGGAGGGCCTTATTTCATAAATAAATGTACTCGTATTATATGTCAATGTGTCCGGCGTGGTATAGTAGGTCAAAACCTCCTTTCTAAGGAGAACCCTATGTACAGCAGTGGATTATTAAAGACTGTTGATGATGACGATGATGTATGTACAATCAGAAAAATCACAAAATTATAAAAATAACAATTACTTGCATCTATTAAACAGATAATGGTGGCCTTTATTCCCTTGTCAAGCCACTTTAACGCCAAAAGGTTAATTAAGCAAAACAAAAAGGGGTTAAACAAAATCAATAGACGCAAATTCATTAAGCGCTAAGCAGATTGAAATCCAACATGGCGTTGCAAGATGGCGGCGGGCGGGTTAAGGCGCGTTGACAAAGCGGCATCGTTAGTTCACGAGCCCTCTTATTAACCTTATGATGTACGGAGAGCATCCATCTTACTTGCCACCACTTACGTTACAGTCCCAAGTTGTAATGATATGGTGGCTGCCGTGTCATATGGTACTGGCGGTATTACCGTAACCATTCCTGTAGTACCTTGAATTTCAGTTACCGTCAGTTTTATTTTTCACTGACGGAGATAAAAAAGCACATGCCCACTTATTAGCAAGCGCTTGTAAAAATTCGGATTTCTGTGATGTGAAATCAATATTAATAATTGTAAACAGTTTGTTCCAGAAATATTTATGGTCAATTTTCACGCACACTTTGTCAATATTAATAATATTAATAATTACATTTCTGAATTAAATTTTTCTAACATTCTGTAGGTGAAGCCAATAGAGCTGCTGGTCCGTATCCCTATAAAAATTTAGACAAGAATCATTTCATATTCCCTAAGTAACAACTTGAATACTCCAACTCCTATTGATAGGTCCGTGGGAATGACAAGAAGTTTTAGACAGTTGAAACAAGGTCAACCCTGAAGATCTAAAACCTCTGTCAATATTTTTTTAAATATAACAAAACAATTTAATAGCAGAAGAGATAGTGTGAAATTGAAGAGGGTAAAATTCGACAACAGAACGACTGTCGAATCTCATACAACTTGGTCAATACTTTGTCCAAGATTAAAACATGATAATGTTAAAAACTTATTATAATTGATCAATGAAACATAACGATATTACCATCGTCATATTTGAATTCTGGGAATTGGCTAAAGGAAAAATATTAATATAAATGAAATAAACTATTTTTGTTTATCTTCAACTAACACAGTAAAGCCTTAATGAATATTGCTCTTAGTTTCTATCTTGTGGTGCTTGAAATAAGAGGCTGACGTATAACGTGGAAAGCGTCGTCAAAATTAATTTAGGTTATTAGTTTCAGCGACAAACAGCCGTACTTTCACATCATACAACATTTCACAAAGTTTTCAATACAAAACTTAGTAGTAGCAAAGAGGGATAATCTGTGTTAAACAATAAGCTTCACAACGTACAACACAAAGTTCATTGCGAAACTCATTTGAATAGAAGGCAGTAATACAAAAGAAAATGGGAAGTCAGGCAAGTAAGTGTTCCATAAATGATGTTTGAAGAAATGTAAAATAATTACTGGAAAGTGCTTCCAACCCTTTCTCTAATCACGGAGGGTTGAAGTCCTTAAAAAAATCCGCCCTAATCCTGGAACATCGGAATCACACTAAAAACGTAAATACTTTTATCCGCGTAATCCCGGTCGTCTTCGCAGATTAGCGCTGTAGTATCGGGAGAAGGAAAAATGCAAGACGCAATCTAGCAAATGGCATTAAAATGTTTGGGTTCAACCCTCTCTTGGCGCGACGCGATTTTTCAAAGTCGAAGAAAAAACCCCTTCGTCCGGGGCAATGTAGCGGATTGGCACGTCTTCAGATGCGGCCAATCCACGAGTACAGTGCTCAGATGTTTTTGATACTTGGACGGTGTTTACCTCATGTGTGTCAACGTACTCTGTTCATCAGCGGATAGTTTCAATAAAATGCTTTGTTTATTTAGTTAGTTTATCAACAGCCAACTTATATTTTTATAAATTTTTACAGACATTCCTTTATTTTCATTAATTTCTAACAGAAGTAGGCATGTATGTGTTGTGTATTTAGTGCATATACTATTGTGTGTATTGGCACTGTAGAGTATAGGTATGTATTGTTCTGCGTGTACGAGTCTTGTGTGCAGGACAGAAATAATTATTGAGGTCACTAAAATTATATTACTTTATTCTTATTGAGGAACTCCAAAGGTTCAAGTATCGCTAACGAGAACTCAACAACGACTGTGGGAGTTCACATACATACATTCAGTCCATCGCTTGTTATTGTATACTCAGAATTACATGTCAGTATTGGCCACTATATATGCAATCTTGCTTAGTTTTTTTTCATCATACCTATAGGGAACAAGCGCTGCTCATGAACACCTTCAACTTAAAAGTTTCGAGTGCGTCGACACAACTTTGAGTGGTTCCTCCTCCTCATGAATTAGGGTTTCCGGTCACTTATTATAACCATTTTTTTTGGTCAAGCTAGGCCCAAATGTTCCTTTCACAATTTCTATCGCAGTAGGAACCAGTGATCGCTAAATATAAATGATAAATAAACTGCTACTATCAGAGAGTTATTTTAAAGGCCTATAGCCATTGATTTACTGACAATGATTCAAAATGACTGAGTCGCTCTATACAGCGATTACGCATTGTGCACACAATAAAGAATTCCAACGTTTTTTAACGAATTCAAATCGTCTAGCGCTGCCCTTTCTCTTGAATCTTTGAACAGAGAATACGTAATGAAACATTTTTCAAAATGTCTGATAGAAATGAATATAGGATAATTAATCAGGCGCGTTATGTCTTTGTGGATTAGATAAAAATAAAAAATATAAAAAAAGGTATAAATGGAACTCATTATTCATTATTATTGTATTATCTATCAAACGGTAATAATGAATTTAATATATTGCTCAATTTAAAACGAATTAAACTTACACAATTTTGAAATAACTCACCACAATTAATCAGAACCCCTACTGGCTAATTATAAAATTGCTATCAAGATATTTAAGAAATATACAGACGTATGTATATACTCAATCTATAATATTAATGTAGTTCTTTTATCGTTTTTTTTATTAACAACTAGGTGGGTATGTCTACTTGACATGGTAATATACAAACATAAAAAAAGAAAAATATAAATTTAAAAGAAATATAGGATTATGTATTCATTCTTAAATTAAATTTTGCTAATTACTGCCATTTGAATTTATTTCATAAATGAAGAATAGGTATAAGGATACTCACTATTCATTTAAAGTAATTGTTTGTATTCCTATCAATTTTATGGAGCTTCTAGCCTTCTTAGTAAGCGCAGTAAGTAAACGAAAGGCGAGTAGCTTCGGTATTCAAAGCTTCCTTTCTTTAAGAGCTGCTTAGCTCGGACAATATCAGCAAAGCTAACGTAGATAAAAAGTACACTTGACTGTATTAAATTATTCTTGCTCAGGAAAAAGGTTCGTGGAGTTAAGTTTTTATTGGAAGTGAATTTATAATATATCAAATAATATTAATAACCAACTTGTCTAGTTACTTGGCAGAGCCATGCTCCGGCACACATGTGACGGCTCGACAGGAGTGATGCCACGACTCATAGAAACCCGGTGTTAACCGATCGTTGCACAGCAGCATCCCCTGATTTGGGGGGGAGGTGGGAAGAGGGGGGGGGGGGCTAGACTCAAAAGACTCAATGAGTTGCAGGCGTGTGTTGTCAAAGACACAACCACTGGGGTGTCGTTTACAATTATGTTTTGGTAACGACACCACAGTAATACAGTTCTAACACAAAACTTATTTATCGACATCAATTATTTTTCATTCGTGTGAGAATTTTAGAAAGGCTTCTCCAGAAGTTTCCAGAAGTTGCTTTAAAGATAGCAGAGGAAGGGAAACAAAGACACGGTGAATTTTTTTTTTAACGGAATGGAATGGTTATCGTGCAATATCAGATCAAGTTTTATAAATTAATTTAATGGTTTTTGTTGCAAATTGCAATCGATACACGTACAATTTTATGATTTACGAATCCTTTGTGAACTCGACCAATTTCAACATTATAAGTGACACATAACGAATTAATTTATTTTACCTTATACATCACTGGTCATCGCAGTCAGCAGTGGTGTCGGTACCAAAAAGAAATTAAACGGTACACCAGTGGTGTGGTCCAGTGGTGTCGTTGACAATACACGGTTGCAGGTGACCGTGGGCGGCGCGGCGGAACTTACTCACTAACTTTCAGTTTCTTTAGTTGGTTACCCGTTGTTAGACGTAACATACTGCAGATTTGGGCCCCAAATCATTTCAATTAATAATAATAACTTCACACTATTCACACACGGCAGTCTGGTTCCAATGTAACCAATCTGTAGATAAACATACTTATATACTCGTATTTCTAAATACATACATATTATTAACACACATCACACATATTATTGACATATCGACATGCCCACCGGATCAGCAAGCTAGGGTGGCAGTGGGCTGACCATATTAGCCGCGGAACCGACAACCGTTGAGGTAAACGATTTCTTGAGTGGAGGGCTTGACGAGTCTTTGTAGGGCGCCCACAGGACAAGTGGAGTGACGATTTGGACGTAGGATGGCTGGCGGGAGCTGGATGCGAGAAGCTGAAAATTGATCGAAGTGGCGTGCAATAGGAGAGGCCTATGTTCAGCAGGTTGATGATGATGATAACATATTATTGATAAATTACACCCAGACACAGAACAAATAATTGTGTTCATCATTACGTTTATACAGTGGTTAAAGATAACCTAACTAGGGTATTACTGGCACTTTACAAAAACCAAACCAAAAATCACTCATTCCTAATTCCTGTTAGTCATACAACACACACACATATAGGCAACTAAATGAACACTTTTATAGCATTAAAATCACTTCAATCAACATAACGAAGAAAACGGTTAATAGATAAAATATTCAATTTACAAAGTTCGCCGTCGTATCGTTGATTCGATATCTCAAATCTTTATCGTAAAAGCCGTGAGTCGCTTGGAGGCAAGATTAAGCCGGGCTTATCCTAAAAAGCAGCTCTTGTCTAATTGCAACGGACTCATAAAGCACTACACCTATAAAGGCTAAGCGGTCGGATTCAAAATAATGTGTTTTACATTTTCGTACCGACGGTATCTGCGACATAAAACGGCCTGTAATTTATTCTATTGCTGAAAGGGTTGGGTTGGCTCAGGGTGGGAATTACCCAAGGTGGGTGCTAAAGGGTTAAGCCGAATATACGGGGTCGCGGCGCCGGCAAACTTTGTTAATTTATGCGCTTAAAAATGTCAACTGAAAATTATGACGCCAAAACACATTTCCTATTTGTATGAATGTAAAGTTACGGTGATGGTTTGTTTCTGATAAGAATCTATGGTTCAGAAGATACTCAGAAGAATTAAAAAAGGTCTATTAATTGCAATTGTTTACAATGTAATTCACGAAAAATAAATCAATTTACTAATAATTGAATTCAATAAAATATTTTTTTCTCGCATAAAAGTAATTTTTCCATCTTCCCGAAACAGTACTTATTTGAGGGTAAAAAGTACTCTACTTGATGATATGGCAGTGCATAAAATACGAACAAACTTTAATTGATTTTTATATTAAATATTAATAAACAATTATGAGTTTCAAATATTTTCCCTAAAGTATTTTAAAATTGTACTAACTCCCACGTGTAGATTAAACGTGTTATAATCAATTGATCAAACTCAAAAGGACTGCATTAAGCTATGTGTTTGTGTAATATTAATAGGACGTAAAAATATTAGCTACTAACGTAGTAACACAAAAAAAGATTTTATTTTCTTTACCTCATCTTAATCTAACAAAATTGCTGGGGTACTACTTTTTGGCAAAACATTGTCTGTGTTAGGAGACCCCGCTCTTCAATATTTTTATGTGCATGCACATAAAATTATCTATCAGCATCTAAATCTATGAAGTTCTGAATAAAAAAAAAACACAAATGCTTAACGATAATATTTTAACAAAAGGACTAACTGTGAATCCACAACACCACCATTTGACAGACGTAGGTGAGAGACTAACAATTGAGGAGTGCCGCGTCGGAGATAAGGCTTTGTAACAAGGTTGGGGAGAACTCGCCTTACTCATTATTTAAATATTCTGATGAGTGCGTTAAGCACCGCGTTTAGTGTTAGTGGAGCGTTTCTAGCGATAACTCTTACTCCTATTGTTTTGTTGATGGAATTTTAAACAGTGGGGTGTGCTTACTGCGTCGTGTAACGTTATCTGATTTTTATTTTTTTTGAATACTCTCAAGATTTATTTGTCTATAATATATATAATAATGTAATAGGCATATATTAAATGTATAATAATATAATAGGCATATGTTAAAAAGAACAGGCATTTATCATCGCACCATACCCTAGTGTATAAATGTTATCTATAATTACTTCTAGAACTGGAAAATGGGATAGAACTTAAGTTTTACGTACTTCATAAAAAACGACTTATAATTCTCTTTATGTCTAGGTATAGCACACCAGCTAGCTGGATTGCCAGGGAGCGATTGGGGTGCACTTGCGCGGCACTATCCACCCCCATTGTTGCCGACCCCCGCACACTTTACTCCACATGTACTATCACCTGCGCATACGCAACCACAACACGTACCCGCTCCACCCCATGAAACTGGTAAGTGCAGCACATAAAAAATAGCAGACTTGGGTCTCATGGTATTTTTTAATGTACTTTATTAAAAGGTATAATCTTTTAATAAATTGGGTCCGAATTACTCAGATAATTAATCATGCAATTGTTTACAGACGTGAATTCGGATAATCCCATAACAATGCGTGCACACAGCACGACGAGTCCAGCAACTTCGCGTCCAAGTTCACCACATGACGATGACGACATATCGGTTACTGCATCTAGCAGTCCACCTCCTGATGAACGTCCTGGTGCTTTTACTTCAGTCACGAGGCCAAGAAAACCCCTTCAGCCTCTACCGGCACCATCAAGCTTATTCCACAGCGCTTTGGCAGCACAACTCTTTCTCAATTCCCCTTTACTACCAAGTCCACCTGCGTGGCTGTATTCACAGCTATACGGTGGATATGACTGGTGGCTTCGACCACCACCTGCTCAAGAAGATTCAAACCATTCAAGTCCCGAAAGAGAAGAGGAAAATTCATCAACATCAGGGACGGGGAAAAAACGACCAGCATCACCTGAATGGACAGAACAAGGCGTACGAACTCGAAGCAAGTCCCTTTTAACGTCAGAAAGACGGCCTGTCGATGTTTGGCGTCCTTACTAGTAACGTGCTATTACCTAATCACGTGCAGATTTTAGCAAATTAACAAGAAACGCTAATAACACAAATTAAAGTATATGCGGGTTAAATCAAGCATTTGTGAGAATTCTTGCACAGCCGAGACGAATAAATTTGTCTCGGCTGATTTCAAGAAATAATTTTGCAACTCTAACTCTTAATCTGTTTGGCTCTAAAGATCAATTCAAATCTTGTGTAATCCCTTTATACACATGCACGTATTTGCTAAAATCTGGACGTTTTCACACGAAAATTGACACTGTCTATTAATGCGTATGATTACGGTTCGTAGCTCACTTTTAATTTTACATTCAAGTGTAAATACTGTCGAGTCTCTCTATTAGTGTTTCAACTGATGGTTTAATGATACGTGTAGTCGACAGTTTATTTTGTGTGGATTATCAACTATTCGGCTTGCGTCCCGTTGCGTGTGTTGAGACATTTTGTATTTGGACATATTGTGCTCGTTTACAATAATATAGTGGTTATTGTCGACCGATAGATGTTTTTACGTTAGATAAAATTGAATGTGAATTTCAAATCGTAACGTTTAATAAAATTGTTGACTGTATTATAAGATAATGCAAATCTGTAAATAAAGTTATAAATCGATTTTTCATGATGTCGTTTCATTAAAGCAGTTTAGGCTACAGAAACGAAATATTTTATAGTGCGGCGGCAGTAAAAACTTCTGGATTGTGTCCATTATATTCGAAACCACACAGCCGAGCTATTTGGCACAGGTTATTGCGTTTGGGCATTATAAATGCATGGGACAATGAAATGTTTTATACTTGTTTATATGTTTATATTTTCGCGATATCCTGTAGCCTTCAATCGCTTATAATTTTCTTATTATCATATTAAATTGTCACTGTGTATAAATATTGCATAGTATTAAGTATTCTGTCCTAGGAAACAGACCATGAGACTTTGAGAACTTTACCCATTGAGAAGTATTTCTGATCTATAGACATAGGCTTTTAGTTATAATAACAAAAGCAAATCGGTTTAATAAAAATAATATGAACGTTCACCCATAGACAACAGATTCATACATGTGGACCGCACGGTAAGGAAGGGTCTCCTGGATTACCAGGTTCTGATCTATTTATAGGTTTCAAATTTCATCTAAATTCATTCCGTTGTTTTTGCCACCGTCAAGTTTTGTTTTATAATATAAGGTAGATCAGTTACCGAACATCACTCTAAAAAAATACGCATGTAACGAAACTCCTTGTAAAATCAATCACTTTAAAAACATGGCGAGGTCCCTACATCAGCAACTGTTTTTAAACCATTTAGTGCCATGCGGTAATTTAATCAGTCTAGATATTGGTTAATTATACAACAGAGTAAAAGTAATAGGTTTTATTAAAATGTTATAATTGTAAGACTATTGTAGAACGTTGTGTTTCATGTATATGCCAGAACTTAAGGTTTTTATGTTGGACAAGAACAGGAGTCATGGTTCATGCAAGCATTTGAACAGACAAAGCAAAGTAGATTGAGTACTCCGTTTAAAACTTCAGTGGCTGTGGTAAGTATGCATTCAGAAGGTAGAAGAAATCTATGTTCCTTCCCTCTCAGTTCCAACATGTAGGAGAAAGGTATATTGGCGACTCCGTAGCTCCAATCAATGCTAGTCCCGGCAGCGTAGTACATCACATCCTTGGTGCTACCCACTTTGTAGGTGTGACGACTTATTTCGTAAATTCCCTGTAAGATAATATTATCTGTGAATACATGTGCTATTAATATTTAATAAAAGTAATTAACAGAAGTTCTCGTGCTGTTTTGACAATTATTTTCAAGGATTATCCTTCATTCAGTAAAAGAGAGAGTTACATATAAATACATTAATGATTATAAACGTTTTTTCTTGTGATTTAAAATTATATTAAGAGACAATATACTCCTACATGCTAATTAAAAACTGATATTAAATTTACAAACAATCACATATTAGATATTTTAAATTTTACCCTTTTTTAGCTAAAAAAATAAAAAAGTCTAATTACTGTTTTGTTATATAAAGTGGGCCAGTAAGTTATAAAACTCAATTTTATAAATATAACGTCAATAACTGGATATTTTATGACCTTTTTCTTGACTGCTTCCTGTATTACAATGAATTGTGTTCAAATTCACACCAATTCAGTAGGTAACTACGTTAATTATTATTTTCCTTCATCCGCTTACTGTATTAAGCTTACTTTCGCTATAGTCGTTCCACCTTCAAGTAGCATGACGTAATCAGGACAAGGATCACTGGTGTAGCCCCATGGGAATATGATGGATTCGCCGTAGCTATGGAATGATAAGAACACCTTGAAGTCCGTTCCTGACTGAAGTATTACATTCTGTGGACAAACAAAATTCAAAATGTTAATTGCATGACTAAACATACCAGCGGCACATTCTAATTTGAAAAGTTTACGTGACCAAAACATTGATAAGTAATGAGTTGTTAATAAAAAGTATTTATATTTTTAATATTTTTTTTAGGACTTTTGAACCTCCTTTAAAAGCATTATAAATAATTGAAGTACGTCTAAGTAACTCTATTAATAACAATACAATTTTTTGTACATCAAAGATTTGCAAAGCGTAAGAATGTATTATTGACGGCCTTATCTGGGGCAAACTTTTACAGGCAACCACGGTATAACTTTAAAAAACCTTAAGAAAATCGGAAATGCTGTAAGTTATCATATACATTCTGAATGAAGTTTGACTGGTACAGCTTCCAAGTACTCATATCTATTTTAGTAGGTTCGCAAAAACGTAAATTATTACATAACTTGGCAGTAAAAATGACATAACGTTAAAGAATATTTTAATTAATACATATATTCAGGGTGAAAGGAACGGTGTAACGAATACTAAAATAGTGTATTCAGACTATCATTCTGAGTAAAAAATCATTTGAATTTTTTGCCGGTAATTTTTCATTTTTTTGGTTAAAAATGATATGAAATTTTATGTTCCCAGTCTATACGAAAAGTCCAAAAAAAAAATACTTTTTCGGCCCATAATTACACGTTGGACATGCCCAGAGACATAGATGGATATATAATATATATATATATATATATATATATATTCACATCTTTTATCCGCGAGGGCTTAGACATAAGCGAATTAAAAGGCCCACATAAATTAATAAAGAATCAATTATAGATGAAAAATAATTGTAAAATATTTGGAGCAGTTATATATAGTTGTGGTTAGATTTTAACATACTTTACCTTGATAGCTATAGTTTCACATTCGGAAAACGGATTCGGGCCTCGGTAAAAGATACTTCCAGGATCTTCGGATGAACCTTCCTCACCTTTTTCACCCCAGCCACAACTGAAACAAATGTCTCATTAGGAGTTTATTGTTCACAAAGATACTGGAGCTATTGGGGGATGAGGTTTGCATCACGGGACGTACACACATTGTCAATTGATGTTGAGAATTCTTTGAAATCGCTTAAAATCATCTATTTAACTCAACTTAATAAATACACAAGGCAAGCGCTTACCTCCAGTTCCTGTTAAGATCAACTCCGATACAGTCTCCGTAACGAGCGCGATTCTTTCGCCACATTCTATCCGTCGTATGTGAGTATTCGTAGCCATCTGGATTTGACACTGGTAGTATATACCTATACAAACAAAAGAACATTTTAAGTTTCACTTGTCGAATTATAGGTCAATAAATAGCAACATTTGGACTCAACAACATACATAAAAAGGCAAATCTTGTGACATAATTAACAATTCCTTTCCAATTCTGATTGATTAATTTCAAATATTTTCAATTTATTTGGCCTTATTAAATGAGTTGTGGACTTATTAAAAACCAAATTAAAAAGATTTTTGAAATGTTTCAGAAGTTGCTCAAAAGTATATTTATAGTATTAGTAATGAACGTTAAGAAAGGGTTTAATTTTTTTATCACTGCTCTGCAAGCCCTCACCAATCTTTGTCTGTGATGTAATCAGGATACCCTTTGAAATTCTTGGCAAGCTGGTCCGCGATATACGTTACAACAGCGACGGTGATCCATTCCCGCGCATGCGTGGCGCCATCTAACCAAACACCTTGGTTATTTTCGTTCCCATTTGATATTTTTAACATCTAAAAAATTAAATTACGTAAATTTTCCAATGAACAAATCAACATTTGAGAGCATAAATGTAATGTTAACAAATAAGCTATTATAGTTTAATACAAATGAATTCTGGTTCCTATAGGCTTGTTATCCAAAATGTCTTAAGTCCTACATAACTTACGTCAGAGTGGTTGAATATTTTATACTCCAATCGTTTATAAGCAAAATTTATCAATTTGAGACAACACTATGCAGTACTGCATTATGCAGAAAATACTACAGGTATTAAAAGATTATGCATAATAAACAAGGGTTTTAATTTTTACCTTTATTCCTCTGCCCTCTTCGGTTGTCCCAATACAACAAATGGTACATAGTTCGGGATAGTCTAGAGCCAATTCGTCCATAAATGCGTATATTGTGTCCAGTCTGTGGTATTTTTCCCAGTTCATTTTAGGTACTGTAACAGCCATATTTGTTAAAGTTTGTGGTGACAATGGATAACTGACACTCAGAAAGTGATTTAAACTCCTTATAAGTAAATCGTTAATGGATATTCTACTTAATGAATCACTGTATTGACTGGCGAGTGATAATAAATAATAGTATTAATTAGTCAATGTGATTCTACGTAAGGTATTTGTTAAATTTACAAGCCATACAACAGGGAGGTGATTAATTTTAATATCATAATTAAATATAATTATATACTTAAATAGCACTCTATAAACTCTGATAAAACGCAAAGCGAGTTCCCAATAAATTATAGGAGAAGACAAATAAAACTTCTCTACTAGGGCCAAATGTGAAAAAAACGTTAAAAGTAATTGGATAATTATAAAATAAATAAAATTGTTTAAATCCAATGTATTGAGTGTACGCCGACATTACTTCTAGAACTTATTATGAATTTATATATTTTTGAGATTTGTATAATAAACGATCATGTTTAATTACAAGATTGCACCTAATAGCCAGTTGCAGTTGACACATGTGATATAATTTTCATTCGAATTATAATATAATGAGTAGAGTACCTAATTAGATACCGTACTAATGTGTTGCTGGAACTAATTCATTATCAATACATTTTTTAGCCCCTACTTAAAATTTTAACTAATTACTTAGACGTGATAAAAGAGATCCTAATTTTATGAGAAGCTTCCAAGAAGGCAGCAAGTAGTCAACGGTGATGAATGAATTCGGCTACCGGATACTAGGTTTTTAAACAAACCTGTTCGCATGCAAGCTTTTGTTGCGTTCCGGGGAGGTCCGATACAATTATTAGTTACTATTTCTTGTTCATATAATGAGTTGACGTCTTGCATAGCTATTTTGTAGGGTACGTGTTTTTCGCGCAACATATGGGCCACTTGTGGGGCCCACGTACCCTCTACCATGACATCCATTGTACTCTGTTCTTCCTTCCATATGTTGATGGCTAGAATACAATTTACGAAGCTGAAATCTCTTAGTATCAAGAGCTCGATGTTTGCTGATTTACACGCATCGTACTATTATGTTTATAAAATGATTTTTTAAGACTATTAATTAGGTATGTACAGATTCAGATAATAAGCTTTGTGGAAGGTGTCAACCATAAAAGGTCTGTGGCGGCAATCGGTGAAGTAAATGTTATTTTCAGATACGGGTTTGCCGATAACCTCAAAACCTTAGGATGTGTTTCTTTTGGGAAATTGCTACGTTATTTGGCTGTATTACGCATTTGGGCTGTATGCCTTTTATTGAAGTAAACATAACATTGTATAGGAGGGCAAATAGGAAAATTATTGTTAAGACGGTGTCTCCCTATACGACAGTGCCCAAATGCATGGCTTGCCCTTAATGTGAAATGTAGAAAGGTTATATTAGAAATATTATTATAAGAAGATATATTTTCGTAATGTCGAAGCAGACATTTTGTACATACTCAAGTTTGTTGAGTTGGTTGGTTTGCTCTGTTAAATCAAGATAGCTAATTTCGTCATAACATGACTGGTAAGAGGAGACATTTTGCCACAGAAAAGTAAAATGCTCCTATTTATAGACACCTTTAACCATTCCGTTGGGAGATTGGTGGGAGCTTTAACCATTTAATTATCAAAATGAGTCTGGGCTACCAACGATAATATGCCCATGTTCGTCACTCCAATCAGCTTTGTAAGCTAAATTCTTGTTCACTACGAGTAAATGTAAATATTGACTGGCTTGAACGTGATTAAAGGCTTCTTCGTGTTAACAAACATAAATCAAAAATTATATTTTACTGTACATAGAGTACGTACGTACAGTATATGAGTTCAAAACTAAATGAAGATATAAATAGAATTGTCGATTGGTCTGCTCGCAATTCTCTCGTTCTTAGTCCTCTAAAAACAATATGCCTTTTGGCACTAAATCCCAGCTAAGCGCCATCTCACATAAAACATGTACTGTTAAAGTAATGGTCGTGCCAATTGCAAATTTTTGAAGTTCGCAACTTGGGGTTAAATTATTAACCCCAAGTTGCGAGCTTCAAAAACATTTTGAAGTCTCTGTGTCAGGCGTTCTGTTCTAGAAAAAGTCGAGATCCGTACACAGTATCTGCATAACTTAGTCGAGATAGGACGAGGCTCTCCACGGCCGCGTCTTGTACCAAGACCCTTTAATTTAAAAACAATGACGAACAACGTTCGAGATGTGGTTCTCAAACCTCGTGTACGGATCTCGACTTTTTCTAGAACAGAACGCCTAACACAGAGACTTCAAAACGCTTGTGCCAGGTTCTGTTTTACCGTACCCAAAACAGGTCATGTAACCCATTTTTTTAATAAGCGCAACATTTCAAAAATGAATGCGCGTCGGTGGCTTCATATGGGAAATCTCCTATTTTGCTTAATTATTTACCGTACACCGTACTATTTATTTAACAAGTTGAAGGTGACATCTTGGCACATTCAAAATATGAACAGAGACTACTGCAGCTTTCAATATTACACCATAGGACAACTGCATTCAAGGGAAAGTTTCGTTACTCTGAGTCGAAATGCTAAAATAATATCCCTCTACCCATAAAAAGACCACCCAGTGTGTATTCTTTCAAAAGAAAATGAAGAAATTCTCTCATCATCAGAAGGAATTCAAAAATGTCAGAGTAACTCTTAGCGCCATATAAAATAGAGAGCGTACCATGACCTTGGATACCGTGCTGTGTTATATCTCACCTTATTTTATTATTCACTACAAATTATTAAATTTTTACTATCCTAGTCATAATATTTTAATTGAATCAAATTGTATGTTTTCCTATCAATCAAATTATTATGCCATTACTATCGTTTCCAGTATATTCTCATACAAATATTACTTTCTAATGTACCATAATAAATTATTATAATGATCGTATATTTACACTATCGAACAGACAATTCTGTTGTAAATATGTAATAATCCTGTAAATTCTACCAATTACTCGTAAAGTATTGCTCTTTCTTATTATCAGTTTTCGCAATAGATTATAAAATGACATTTTAAAATTTATACATATTATTATCTACATTTTTATATCTGTATTGATGTGTGCCTTCGGTATCAGCAACTGTACAGTAACTTATATGTTGTGTACGCACCTCCTACGGTATTTAGCGATTTCAGGAACTCCCTCTGACCGTTTCTAGTAAACTTTACCTCCCACACTTGGGTATTTGAATCTAGGTAATCCACTTTGATGGTTTATATACACAACTTTGATCCCGAAATATATGTTTTTAAGGGCATTAGTTTTATTAATAGAATTTATTTTATGAAAACACCATTATTAAATTTTGAGTTTTACTGTCACCGAAAACTTTGACATTAAAATTCAAGGAACTCGAGGAAATTCTTTTTTTTTCAGTTGTCAAAGCTGGCAGCGTAAAGTTCGTATATTTTTTTAAACCTACTATTTGGAATAACATGCAAATGAAATACATTTAAAACTATGATGTTAACAATATGATTAGATGATAATATCAGTAAGAAAACTTTTAATAAATTACTAGAAATACCCGCTTTTTTAAGGTAAAACCTCTGAGTACAAGCCATCCAATAATATCTCAATAATTGGATGGATTGGATGTCCGTGTGGTGACGGATTAAGAATACGGAGTGTCACCACCCCTATTCATCCGAGCAGACTACGCAGGACAACAGCACTGCAGAGAGAAGGAAAGCTTGACACAAACCCTATACCAACCCGTCTGGCCAGCGTGGTATAGTAGGCCAAAACCTCCTTTTTAAGGAGAGGCCTAAGTCCAGCAGTGGACTAGTAAAGGCTGTTGATGTGAATTGGATGGAGTTGGATCTTCTTAAAACAAACTGTTTTGCCTTCTAATCACTAGATGCACATGGTAGGGTACCCCCCCTTCCTATTATCACTTAGGTTACTTAGCTCTTATTCAAAGTCATTAGCAATCAGAGTTTTAAGTGGCAAGTGGTGATGATTTCTGTGTTAGGCTAGGGTGGAGCAAATCACCTCAAACAAAGCACAATCCCTAAAACAGAGAATATACTTGGCAACACGTCCTTTTAAGAACAGAGACATTATTTGTTATTTTTGACTTACTTACTAAAGTCGATAATTTTTATTTAAGTATAAATAATTTGGCTTCATAAACATTATAAAATATTTAGTTAAACTGATTTTATTAATTTTGAATTTTGTAAGGGTTTTAAAAAACCGACTACAAAATCAAGCACTGTTAGTCTTTTAAATCGCCTTTAAAAGCTTTGAATTTGCAATACATTCACCATAAAGTTGTGAGAATTCAAAGCGTAAAGTCTCTTAATGATCGAGAAGATCCATAGCCAGAGTTTCATTACAGAACTAATACTGTTAAAGTTCTTTAACTGTTGAAAATAACGTAAGAGTAAAGAAAAATAATTTTTTACCTGTATATTTAGATTGAGGTTATATATTTGGAGACTATGTTGAAGTGGCTGCTGACTTGCACTTTTATTTGACGAGACGAAGTTAGGGACTCGTCGGATAGGTTATTTACTTGCACTTCTACTTGATGAGAAGATTGTTTTGATGCGATGGAATAGTTGCTTACTTGCACCTCAGCTTGATGGACCACAGGCACCTCAGAATGATAACTAAATTGAACTTCAGCTTGAGGATGCACCGTCACAGGTGTTACTTTAGTTTTACTTGGCTTTAAATCAGTTCCCGTGATATTTGCTTCAGGTATGTCTGTTTCATCTTTTTTCTTTGATTCGTTTTCTTTACTTATACTTTCTTCACTTTTTTCAGACTTCGACGCCGGATCCTGGCAGTTTCCTATATTAGGCGTTTTATAATTATCAACGAATTCCATTAACGCGATCACGCAGTTTAGAATCTCTAAACCAGTCTCCGCAATTTCTTCCTTAGGTACTTTAAACTTGTGTTTCTTGCTCCTCAGTTCTATGAGGTAGCAGAATGGAATACCGACTTCTCCGTGCGACCAATCGTTACTAGTGCCGGACGCTTGATACATTACATCCTTCGAAATGCCCACTTTATATGTATTACCGTTTGTATCATAGATTGCCTGTTCACAAAGAAATTTTTAACTTATCTATCTACTATAGATAATGCAAGAAAGTTTTATGGTAATCATGTGAGTCATACACTGAAGGTTTTTGTGTAGCAAAAGCCAAAAGATAGTATTGTTTGGAGACAAAGAAATAAGGGCCCTGATGCTAAAACGGAAATTTTCTAAATTCTTTATAGATATTCAAAACTAGATAGCTAGTTTTAAATATCTAGCGGCTCGGCTTTAGCATAGCCGTAGTCCATAGGGACTACGGCTATGCTAAACATACACTGTCCATGTGGTGACGGATTAAGAATACGAAGTGTCACCACCGATATTCATCCCGTGGGTGTCGTAAGAGACTAGGCGAGCAAACTACGCAGAAAAACAGCCCTGCAAACGGTAGAAAAACTGGAAACAAACCCTTTACTAGCCGTCTGGCCAGCTTGGTATAGTTGGCCTATATCCAGCAGATCCTGTTGATGATGATAATGATGATTTAAGGTCCCTAATCCTGCTCTATAGTTTTGCGAAAATGTTCGCAAAACTTCATGATGATCGGATGAACAGTACCTACAGAATTTGTATATCTTGAAAAGACTAATATGTTACAACTGATAAGAATTGATAAGCACAGACCTCTTAAGTATTTTTTGTGACTCAAGCTGTGTGCTCTTTTAAAGACCTTGGATAAGGCTTATAACTTACTACTACTACTCGAAAAACGAATACGAATATAAAAATATGAAACAAAATTTTGATCTCTAGACTTTCATAGTTTACCATATATAAGCACATACGTGGTAATTAAAATATGACTGACACAATTTCGCTTCTAAATACCTTAAGAAATTTGGATAAGTATGTGTTTGTCAGAATACTTACATCATCCCCAGTAGCTATGATAAAACTCAATACGGTGAGTTTCAATAATGTGAAAAAAGTCGTGTTTTCCATTTTCTTTTATTAGTAACTTGTTATTAATATTAGTTGAATTTTATCATATTTTGCAGTATACACACATACACACAGCACGTCTTTAACCATTAGTGTTAGATAAAATCAAGTATAGTCTCTAATTGTCAGAATGTGCAGTAGGTTTAAGCGGCTATACATATATATGTAATATATATATTTATAATATTTTACCTTCGACATAACAGTAGCACCTTCAAGAAGTTTTATGTAATCAGGAGCTAAGTCGTCCTTATAAGCGAAAGGCATAATTATAACTTGCCCAAAGCTGTGCAAAGTTATGTACACCTCGAAAGTGACTCCTGAGTGAAGAAATATATCCTGAAAAATTGTTAATTTTAATAATTCAGAAAAAACTTTTGAAATAGCATAAAGAGAGCATAGCGTATCTCAATTAAAATGTGGTGTTTATTGTGTTTATTGGTACTCACAGGCATTATAATTCTAATCTTTTAAAGATTTTAAAATGCTGGGAAGTTCTTGAGATATGTCAATACAAATTCATACGTCACAAAGAAGTTCCAATATGTAATACTAAATGATTGGCAACACGCTCCTGATAATTTGACATACTTTCTCGATACTTTGACTGTGTAATTACTACTTTAGCAGTATGATTTTTTTTTAATATTGTCATAAATATATATTTAAGAAGTATTTATGTTTTCAGAAATACCTCCTTTCTAAGGAGAGGTCTATGTCCAGCAGTGGACTATTAAAGGCTGTTGATGATGATGTTTTCAGAACCATTATGTAGTAAGGATAAAAATAAATTGTATAAATATAGTTTTAGGTAATAACTACTAGCTTTGTCTTATACTACTGAGAATGTAAATTAACTCTATGATGCAAACAGTGAATTAAACTTAATGTTACAAAGCGATATAAAACCGTTACAATGAAAATTATTTATGGCTAAATCTGTTTGCAGTTTAATCTCTGCATGCGATACCGACGACACGATTTCGGTATCAACGCACATTACTGCTAAATGATCGCGCCCGATTCCAATGATCATTTGCAACATTTAAGTGTATTAAATTGGTATTCATTTACTTTATCTAATGATGGCTGAAGTATAGTACTTTGTGTCTCTTTTTTTGTTACTTTTGGTAATAATCATTTTGAATGAATAATTAGAATTATTAAAAAAAATACAGTGTGGCTTAAAGAAGTAAAATGGGCGCAATAAAATTGCCACTATGAAAGTACATAGCTGCAAAGTTATTTAGTTTGCAATAAAAATAAAGAAGTAAGTGGGTAATTTTAGATATGTATCACGTGCTATTATGCCATTACTATTTTATTGAGATTTTTTTAAATTATTCTCGAATAAAGCAATTAAAACACTTGCTTATACATGTGTCATAACATAATATATAATTACCCTCATGGCTGCAGATTCCGGTTCAGAAAATGGACGCGGACCACGGTAGAATGAATTTGTTGGTACATCCGATGAGCCTTTGCCGCCCCATCCTAAGCTATAAACAATTCTCTTTATTTAGATGCCAGCTTAAGATACGTATTAGAGGGAATTTAATTCTTCAGCCACTTACGACATTTATGTCAGAACTGAACCGAAAGTATCTTATAGAATTCTGTGTATAAACAATACTTTTAGCATAAATTTGATTTTTCCTGCTTTATGATTTATTTGTAAACCTCTAAAAATTCTTTTAAATTTTTACCACACTAGGAATATATCGTTCTGCCACGGGGGACTTTATAAACACTCATGAAATGGACACAAAGAACACCCAGACTTAGAACAATAATTTGTGGATCACACAAAGTATTGTCCTATGTGGGGACCGAATCCACAATACTCAGCGCAGTAGGAAGTGCCGAGGTGATCGCTTAAACCACGACGCCATCCGTGCATTCAAAACCTCATAACCAAAAAACAACTTCACATTCAAAAGATACTAAAGCGTATGAAATTACATCGCATCCTAAGAACCTACAATTAATGGACCTTAAATTAAATGGACCTTAACTTACCTGAAATTCCTATTAAGATCTACACCAAATAATTTATGCCGAATATACGCTTTATTTTTACGCCACATGCGATTGCTCGTATGCGTGTATTCGTATCCGTCAGGGTTCAAAACTGGCATGAAGTACCTGCAATAATTTTTTTGACTCAATAATTAATTTACAGTTATTATTATATTTATAAATAATCTTTTATAGATTGTATTAGGCCCATGATGATTATTTTATAGATGATAGAGATGAAGTCTTCAGAGGGTTCAGACTTAAACGGTAATAGCCAACTAGAGTTTTAAGTATGCAGAAATATAAGATAATATTTAAGAAATAAAATATTTCTTAAATTCTGGTACCCAAATGGCCTACTCAAAATTTATCTATCTTTATTTTTGTTTCTTTTTTTTTTATATAAAAGACAACTCCCAGTCACCCACGACACAGGATATATTCCTAATGTGGGCATTAGAAATATATCCCGTGTCGTGGGGGACTTTACAAACATACACGAAACGGGTACAAAGAACACCTAGACTCAGGACAACAATTTGTGGATCACAAAATGTATGCTTGTATTATGAAAGTGGAACTAAAATTACAGTTGGCAAAAGTCGGTCCTTAAACGCCTCTGCCTTTCCCTTTGGCGATATAGATGTATGTATGTAATATATGTATGTTTTGTACCAATCCTTGTTCCTGACGCTCTCAGGTAAGCTATCAAAGTTTCTGGCGATATGATTGGCGACGAATGTACTGACGGCGGGCGCGATCCACTCCCGAGCATGTATGCCAGCATCAATCCACACTCGGGAGTTAGAAGCGTCGCTATTCGATATTTTCAGAATCTATAACAAAATTTTATTGATAGAATACGTAACAGAAAACCATGCATATATAAATTCCAACAATTGTTTTAATATAAATTTGTGTCTGCTTTTATTACTCAATTGATGAACTGATTTTAGAAAAGGACATGACGATTTTCGATCCCAAGGAATACCCATTGATAAAATTTATATAATATGAGCAAAACCATGGCTGGAAGTTGAGCTCTTATATTTTCGCACATTTTGACCCAAAATTTTAAAATCACTTGTAATTTATAATTGCTTGCTTATTGTTTTAAAATAATTGCATATTTAAAAAATGCTTTCAAAAGATGTTTTAAAGATTTACTTACCTTCAGATCACGGTTCTCTAAAGATTTACCAATTACACCAGTAGTGCATAGAGACGGAAATTCAAACTCCAAGTCATCCATAAACTTGTGTATTACTCCCAACCGATGATAATTGTCCCAATCCATTGGTACTTTAGTGGGATCAGTATCATTTTTTAATTCTTTGTCTACGATCAGAATACAAACATCTATCGTTACAAAAACAACAGAAAAGATTATTGACCTTAATTTATCTACCTAAAAAAAGAAATAAAAATTGAATAAATGAGGAAGCCTGTTCTATGTCCAGGTTTTACTGTAATACAAGTCAACCATTGAAAAGTCTGTTCTAATGAAATCTTTCATCATTCCTCGTCTCTCTCCATTCTACTTATACTTAACATTAAACATTTGTATGTTCGTACTTTAGCGTTGTCAGGCTGGTCATCGGATCGTCATGAATATTTTCGAAGAATGGAAAAATACTTTTACATGAATGAAGCTGCGGGCACAATACGATATAAAAAAATAACATTAAATAAACACGCGATTAGAAAGTTCATAACTTTTTACGATGTGGATCTGAAATTTAGGAAGGATGCGCTGACATTATTTACGTATGAGTATTTTTATGCGTGCTTCATCATTCAGTGGTATAAAATACCTAAAACTATTCTCTAATTTAAAATTATAAAGTTTAAGAGCTTTTTGTTTGGATCTATCAGTCGGATTCAGAAATATTTTTACATTGTATCAGTACTGAAAAAGGTAACAGTTGTTTTTTGGAGTATAGCCATTCTTTAAGTTCTGTAAATGTACTTACCTTTAAAACCGAGTTCTACATTCTTTATTGGTCCAATCGATTTACTCGATTGCACATTACGAGTTAAATAGTCGTTTAATGCACACATGATGGGTTTACTTCGAGAGGAATATGACGAAGAATTTTTATTTTTTGTTTTAAAAATAAATTCATCCACTACGTAATGTTCATCCCGGAATGCTTGACCTGGTGTACTTTCAATTTCATAATATTGTTCAAAGTCTCGAATTTCTTGCGAAGAAATTACTTTTAAATTTTGTTTGGACCTCAATGATCGGTACGTTTCAGAAGATGATGGTCTACGGGAACTGCTTTGCGGCATTATGATAAATTATCTTACTGTATTATCACGAATTCAAGTTTGGGCAGTATATGTGTACTTATATTTGTATTTCGTATTCTGGATTGTTTTTGTATTTTTATGTTTTGTAGTATTTAAGTTACGGTACTATTATGACATTTTGATTAATTCTGCTAGCGTTTTTACCACAGATTTACAATTGGACTTCATTGTTTGACAATCAGACCATCAAATTGATAGATCAAGGGATATTTATTTTTTACTGTACTATTTTATATTAAATAAGAAAATAAATAAATTGTTAATATGATTTTGTTGAATCTACAAACATAAATATTTATTTATAATAGGTCTCAAGTATTAAAAAAAAGTTTCTTACTATTAAAGTAAGAAACTTTTTTTTAATACTTGAGACCTTTAAATAGGTTTGTTTGTGGAGAGTCGGCCCATTTGTGTCGAAACGTGCTCTCCCACGCATTCTGAAAACATAGCCTATACTAAAATGTTTTTTTTCACAAATAGTGAAATAGATACAAAAATTATCGTGGGAGAGCCAGACTTCATAGAAAACCTTAGGTTATAGGTTTTTTTTAAATTCACCGATGTGCTTTAGTTTGTCATTCTTAAGTACAGCAAAACTGCTGAATGGAATGACGAAAGTGACGTGACTTTATTGACAAAAATGTACCTATACATCTATCACTTTTTCTGTTGTATTTAATAAATGTTTTTCTTTCTTTCTTTGTTGTTTTTCACCGAATTGGTGATGTAGCCGAAGGCTCAAACCTCCCCCCCCCTAATTATGGGGAGGCACTTAAGGGGTAGCCATGGAATTGTGTCTCTTGAGCAGCAGGTATCTATAGGCAGCGGTAGGCACTTACTACCAGGCGACCTGATTGCGTGTTTGCCCTTATGGTATAATAAATATAAGAAATTCTGAATTACTTCAAGTTTTATTTGCGCTCAGTAAATATAATAGTTGAAGAATTACTGTTACCAGCCTACCATCTTAATTTTGGTAAGAAAGAAAGAAACGTTTATTTGCACAGAACACAGGTGATATCCGATTTAACAGTGGTGTATTGTTCGAGCTATATTCTGCCTGTATTAGTAGAAAGTTACCGTAAAGTCAATAAAAAGCTATTAGGCTGCGCTATCTACTGTCAGATAGCATGCTTAGTCTGTTTACCATTCCCCCCATTTTAATATTTATCTATATCTTTTCTTAGTTGGTAGTGTGGTAATTCAAGAATCTTCATGAATATACTTAGGTAAATAATTGTTCACTATTTAAGTTCCCAACACCATAATACTAATGACGACGACTTTTCATCCCGTGCCTGTCGTAAGAGTCGACTAAGGGAGCAAACTACGCAAGACAACAGCACTGCAAAGAGAAGGAAAACTTGAAACAAACCCTATAAAAATAACCCGTGTGGCCAGAGTGGTATAGCAGGCCTAAACTTCCTTTGCAAGGAAATGCCTATGTCCAGCAGTTGACTATTAAAGGCTATTGATGATAATGATGATGAAGCTAATTAGCTGACCCGTGTAACTTTATCAGCGTCTCAGAAAAAGAATAGATTTTCACCGTTTCTCCCCGATAGTCGCCGAGATTACCATGTTCAACCAAACAAACAAATTCTCCAACTTTATAATATTAGTATAATATAAATAACAGTATGTCCAGCAGTGGACTATTAAAGGCTGTTGATGATGATGATGATGATGATAAATAACATTTGTTCTTAAACTATTTTAACAGACTCCACCTTTCGCATACAATGTATATGATTGATGTCATAGTACAGTGTTCAAGCGGCTTGAACAAATGATTCATCTGATTTCAAAGAGATCGTTAAAGCATTTTTCACATTGAATACTAAGTCAGGGTTGGCAGTTAAGTACTTAGCGAGCGTCGCGACGCGACGGTCGCCCATAAGCAGTGTCTAATGAAAAACAAAGCTCAGACCTCATACAAACTGTAAAGCAGAAGTACAACTGTCCTTTAACAATTACAATTATTACAACTAAGTAGTAGGCTGGATGTTTCTATATTAATTAAATGTAAATTAACCACTAAATATCTCTATTTTATGAGTTCTTGTTTCGAAACCAATCTTATAAATATATTTTAATGTTTAGAACATTTGACATAATTGTTCCGAGTCCTTTCGTACTCATCTTGTGCTTAACGTGTATGTTGGAAAGACTGCACAAAACAACATTTTATTTTGATGACGCTGTAATTCAAATTATTCAAGTCTGTCATTTAAAACCCATCTTTGTTCAGAGGCGTAGAAGCTTTGACAGTGATTACCTAATGGAAGTTGTAATAAAAATAATAATACAGACCAATGCAGGCCAATTACATGGCTACCCACTATTTAAACATTTTTAACATCACCAATCTCTGTTAAAATTAACTCACATAATAACAACCATATCACAATAGCCGAAGAACAGAAGGGGTGTAGAAGGGGCTACATGGGATTGTCAAAAAAAATTTGACAACAAACCACATCCTTGGTTAATACAGGTTTTTCGAGATATAGAGAATAGCAGATTTTTTGTGCAGTATCATGACACACTGGTAGACTACATTGCAACTAAACAGTGGCCGTTATACTCTTACAACTCGACAGATGCAAATCAGGAAGGTTATATACCAAGAAGATTCCCTTAGCCCATTGTGGTTCTGCCTCGCCCTGAATCCCTTATCTCACATATTGCACCGCTGTCAAGTTAGGTATCAATTTAAAAACAACACTGAAGAATTCCTTATTTCACACCTTATATATATGGATAACATTAAATTATTTGCGAAAACGGAACATCAACTGAAAACCCTTTTAGAAACTACAACTCAATTCAGTAATGATAAAAACCTGCAGTTTGGGTTGGATAAATGCAGGACAATATATATTATAAAGGCAAAGTAGAAACGTGAAACTATGCAGTTAACAATACTGATATTATAGAAGCTCTGGAACCAACAGACCTATGTAAATATTTAGGATACCATCAACTTAAAGGAGTCGATCACACAGTAATTGAAGATACACTAAAATCAGAATACCGTAGGAGAATGGTCGCACTATGTAAGTCACAATTATCTGGTAAACATCTTTTGCAATATCAATACTAACTATTCATTTGGAGAGATAAAACTGACTAAGACTGACATCAAACAACTGGAAAGAACAAAAAGAACAACACGAACAAAACTCACAAAACACAATAACCTTCACCCAAAATCAGCTATAGAAATACTTACCATCAAAAGACAGAACGGAGGCAGAGGCCTAATAGACATCCAACACCTTTGGGCAAAACAAATAAATAGGTTAAGAACATTTTTCTACACAACTTTTCACACCAGCGATATTCACAAAGCCATTATCCTAAATGACGATAATTAAACACCACTTAACATATGCGATCAGGCAAATCTCCACAACACTGACAACTTCGACCCACAAAAACAGAAAGTAGTTTGCTCCGTCACCGTCCGGATTAGTTAGTTAATAAATTTCAAATTAATTTACATGAATAGTTCTTACATAAACGTAAATACAGTCGACATTAGTTTGTATACGGAATCGTATTCTTAATTCGTCACCATATGGACAGCCATGATTCAGCACATATGGGCCGGCTCGACTGAGTGAGGTCACAGCCTCACAGAAAACCGGTGTTAAGCACTCTGTTAGTTGCTTTACACCAAGTAAGTAAAGTTACCGAAGCCCCAAACCACCTCCTTGACTCTGATGGGCGGACACTCGATAGGCGGGAAAGCACATGGTCTTTTGAATTGCACGTGTCCGTGAGCGGTGGTAGTCACTTACCATGCGGTGACCCACCGAATCTTTTGCCTCTTATACTATAATAATTATAAGGTAATTTTTTATCCCACGTTCGAAGGTTTATACCTTATAATTATGACTACACGGATAGCGTAGTGGTTTAGGCGATCGCCACACCGCTTCCTACTGCACTAAGTGTTGTGGGTTCGATCTCCACATGAGACACCACTCTGTGTGATCCACAAAATGTTGTTCTGAGTCTGGGTGTTCTTTGTGTCCGTTTCATGTATGTTTGTAAAGACCTCCGCGACACAGAATATATATTTCTAATGCGGTAGTTGTCTTTTAAAAAGACGGAATTATACTCGCAATTAAGTTCTAATTTACCATCTAAAAAATGTAATTATCTTTTAAAACAAAACGAAGTTATACTTCTGTACTGCCCTACACTGTGGCTGGGTTCACCGCTTTACCACCCCTGTACACCCACTTGGTGCCTGCATTTTGCGACTAATTGTTAATCCTTGTTTATTTCGTTAAAATCAAAGCAAAATCGACTTTCTTACTACAACATTTTAGCGAGAAAAGTTTTTAGGATAAGTAGTTTTAATATGTTATAAATATTTGGGACGTCAAACACACAACGTCATCTAGTTTCAACCTAAGCAGAGCTTGTACTAAGAAAGCTAGATTAGCTGATAGAATATTTAGATACATTTTTTAAATACATACATATTATACATAGAAAACACCCGAAACATACAAATATTTGGTCTGACCCCGGAATCAAACCCACGGCCTCAGCACAGCAGTCGCATACGCTACCTACTGCGCCGACGAGGCAGGCATATGAGTATTTCAACTAGAACAACTAATTACACGAATGACGGGCTAGATAAGGTTTTTTGTACTTGCCTTTAACATGGTAAGCTATTATTGGTATCGCAAGACGCTGTCAATACTTTTCCCCTTTCGGAATTCTGATGACTCTGTCCACCATCGTGTACCCATAATCTGATGCTATCTCGATCAGCAAATTTATTTCATTATTTTTTTGAGTTCTGGCAATTTCTGTTTCTCATATGTCATAGGATCCATGTAGAAGGAATCATAACAGGGTATAGTTTTAATTTGCCACATTATAGACTTCTGTCTTCTTTTACACCACTCCGCTTGCGGGGACTCCCCGCATACCTATTGCAAATCACCAAGTTATTGAACCTACAAATTGAATAGTCAATAGGTCAGAGAAAAGGTCTAAATAAAAATGTAACCAGAGCGCGACATACTTATTTACTTACTAAAACTTCATCAGCCCTTCAAATAAATAATTATCGCAAGAGATTTATTGAATAAGGAGACATGTTTTACGACAAGGCTGTTTAGAAAAGAAGTTTAATAGTAACGTCTCCAAAAATGTTCTCTCGTAAGTGACATGTTTAAAGGAGAACAATCTTGGGCTCTAATCCGCACTAATTAATTCTCAAGAAAAAAATACGGCACATGAGTGATCAGGGTAAATGTAACGAGCTTAACAAGCGTCTCCGAGGGGTGAAGTTGAGGGGGTGCAGGGTTGGGCGGCATTCAGGGGGACACAATTAAAAAGATAAACGCACGTAAGAACGGGCCGAGGTGACAGTTGGGCGTTACGTAGTTTGGGGTACACCGTCTGGTTAGCGGGCTACCGACAATTCTTGAACTTTACTACTGGTTTTCGCTCTGACATCTTGGTACACTAAAGTATACGTCTAATAAGTAGAGTTTTACAATAGTAGATATTGTAAAAAAAATATTACTGTGTGTATGTTTGATAAATATAAATATTTCATATGTTGAGACCTTATTTATAACTCGAACTGATATACCTATCAACAGTTCAAAATTAATCCAGTTAATCCAAAGGTTGCCTAAAAGAAATTGCTCCAAGCTATAAGGTAAAATTGTACATTACGTTTGTTGTATCTTTAATTACATTATAATGTCTGTAAAACCCTGGTGTACAAATAAAGTATTATCTATCTATGTTCTTAAAACAATGATAATAGCAAATATTGTCTTTTCATTTTAAAGGATGACGTCGAAACATCACTGCAACTTTTGTCGAGAACAGATGGTAAGATTTTGTTTCATTAGTGAGGAGTGCAATAGCGATGGGCGACGCGAGGGTGTACGAGGTACCTACACAAAATATATGATTACATGTAATTATCGAACTCAAGCTCATTGAGCTATAATTCTGGATTACAATAACATTGTACGAGATAAGAAAATGCTGCAGTATTGCACGCGTGGCGCTATGATTATTTATACCACGCTAAGTGTGGGTTTGAATCCCACATAGGACAAAAAATTGCGTGTTCCACAAACAGTTTTTTTATGGGATAGAGGGGTAAATTAGCAAACAGGTCACCTGAAATGGTAAGTGACTAGTTACTATACTAAAAGGCCCAATCAAATATCGACTAAGCATCGATTTGGAATTATTCTTCATAAGGACTGTTAGAAGAACTGAAATTGGTAGGTTGCTGAAACTAGTTATTAGGCTTTTTATTTCATTGTTTGTTTGTGCCGGTTTGTGTTTACAATATTCATTTTAGAATTTAACTGATCCAAAAGCGCGTAAATTAACCAAAGGCTGATAAGGTATATTTGTTAGTACTTTTCTAATTTTAAGGTAAATTTCCTTTTTAATTTTCATTCGTCCACATTTGATGCTTTTCGAGCGTAACATAAATAAAAAAAAATCGATTGAAAACCTCTTTACTTAATGTAGTCAGGTAACAAATGACATACTTTTAGATCTCGGTTTCGTAGATTATTAGAGTTTATAAGCTAATACAAAAATACTATAAGTGACACAGTTTAAATTGACATTGACATTTAAATATATGTCGGTTGTGGTATAAAATTTATAATAAATTTTGTCAATCAAAGACTTCATAATACTTGGGGTAGTAATAGGAAGTCTTTGGTAGTTAAATCAAAATAAATATTCGAATCAAAATTTCAGTTGGGTCCTAAGATTGCACGGGGCATTTTCACAAATGCCCAGTGCCAATAATACTTGTCAAAGTGGCACGAAGAGACGTAAGATATCAGATATGGGATGTAAAATGTTTAAAAGACGGACAAAGGACCTTTTTGAAAAATTTAGACAGCAAAGGTGGTAAGTACACGATTGCCAGAGCACGAGAAATTTCACATGGAACACCGGAAAATCTGAACCATCTAGAGCATAGTACCTCGGTCTGGTCATAGATTATGGGGTTTCCCTTTTCATTTGTTTAGATGACTGGTAGATTATTAATTTAAATAACGCATTTTCTCTATGATATAGAAGGCAAACGAGCAAAAGAGTCACCTGATGGTAAGTTACTACCGCCGTCCTTGGATACATTTTTACGTTGCCGTCCTATGTCTCGAGCTTCGGTAACCTCACTCACTCGGTGAAAAGCAACGAAGGAACTGTTTGACATCCGGTTTTCTGAGGGCATGGTATCACTCTGGTTAAGGCAGTCTCATATATTCAAGTGCCTCTTGCGGATTTTTATACCTACAAATAAATAAAATTGAAGTGTCTGTTTGTAATGTCAAGATATGTTTTTTTCTTTCTCACATGGTTATTAGCACTAGCATTAGCACTTCTTTTCCTAGAAACCAGCTTAAAGTTTTTTTGTCTGTCTGTCTATTTGTTCCGGGTAACATCTAATCTTCTAAACGGCTCGACCGATTTTGATAATATTTTACTAAGGAGTAACTAAGGCTATTTTTCCTCTCAGAAAAACCCTTCAAATTTTTTACCGGTCCGGGAATCGAACCCACTAAGGCAGCGCTTTTCAAATTCCACGTGAATGAAGTCGCAAGTACCAGCTAGTCCCTAAAAAATTCAAACAAGTTTTTTTGGTTTTGATTCACACTTATCCACGTGTAAATAAATTCTGAACACTTAGTCTTCACGTGTATTTGTAGCTTAGGTTCTAGATTTTAACAATCGAGCCGTCGTCGCGGTCGCAGAACGACCTCCATCCTCCATATGCGCAGGCCTGGGGGTGATAGTTAAGGCCCTCTGTCACCCTAGCAGAAGCAGGCCAGGTGTGCGGCGCGATGCGCTCTTTAGCTTTTAGAATGTTCCCACATATGAAGGGGTCATCTACAAGCCGTAGATGGCCCAGGGTCTGTCGGGGTACCAGGGATTTCCTTCCTAGAGTACACCTGACGGGTACCCGAGACGGCTTGCGGTTTTTAGTCGGTCCGAGTCAAACATTTCCGCACGAATAAAAAGGGTTAATAGCTTACCAGGCATCATTTTGTGTTTTGATTCCCTTTATGTCTGCATACCGTGTCTATTTTATTTTGATATTAAATAGCAATATTTTCTGTTTCTTTGAAAAGATTTTAAGAATTATAAAATTTTAGTATTGAAATCCAGGGCGGTGGCAGATAGCATTGCTCTATTTTTAATACTAACCTCAAATATAAAACCCATGGATAAACCCATTGGTTTTATGGTACTGAACTGAACTGTACTTGAAGACTATTTACTGTAATCCTATGTCGTTCTTGACTTTCAGCAATAACAATAAACAGAGATGACAAAGGTCGAACAGAGGTAATGGTGAATGGATCGAGGGTAATGCAGGTGAAGAATTTGTTGCGATCGAGGGAGATAGAATATGAAGTGCTTACCAACGACATCTTTTCTACCCAATACGCAATGGGGATGTTGCCAAAGCGTGTGCGCAGCCCCGATCCTAAGCGAAACCGAATACAATTACCCATCGGTACTATTTCAATATTTTCCAGTGTATATTTTATCCTCTGTTAATCATTCGCAAGTTTTTACTACTACCCTGATTCACTGAGGTCTTCACCGCAACACCTGGCACCGTATGCAATCCCGACTCACTGTGATTAGCACACGTCAGCCTCAACTAGTCAAATATAGTTCCGACTCAGTGAAAGTAACGGAGTAGTAATCTACTCCAATGAAAGTTCTCGGGCGAAGTGGTCGAGCTCGGCGCGCTAGGCTTGATCACTGCGCCAGGCTTGATCACTGCGCATCTTTGGAGGGCCCTTGCTTTGTATTATAGGAACCTAAAGTCCATGATTTTTCAGATGGCTAAGGTATTTTTTCTATCGAACGAAAGGTCATTTCTGTATCTCTTACAATAGTATACTAGATGACATGATGCTCTATTCAGTAGTTCTTGTTTGAGAGTGTAACAAACAAATAAATAAACAGTGTTAATTTTTTGTGATGTCTTACGCGTACGCTAACGGTATTGTTTCGCATTCATAAAAGATGAGGCTTTTTTAAGTTTTTAAGTATTCAAATGTCATGCCATGCCATTCAATGTATAATTATCTTTTAATGTCATAATTTCTCAGAGTTGGTATCTAGTTCAGTGACACAGTTTTCTTTTACAGGCAACTCTCGGGTATTAGATTGGACAGATTTTTACCCTCTTCCCACAATTTATAATTTTTTGGATGAATTAGAAAAAACCTTTCCTTCAACTTGCACCGTATCTATTATTGGAAAAACAGTTGAAGGCCTTGATATAAAGGTATGAGTATTCAAAGGCCTATACAATTTACGACGTGCTCCGGAGACTTTCAATGTCGAGTGGGTCTAATATATTGATATCTTGAACATGTATCTTGTACAAACTGGTAGCTACGGGCGCGGACCCGTGCTTCACCTAGGTTCTCCGTCTGGGTGAAGCATAGACCCTCTATATATGGTCCGGTACTTCAACTGATGTGTATATCAGTAGGATTTATTGTAATGCATTATTTCCAAAAAAATGCCCAAAGAAATTTCATTATTCATTTATTACATTTGCCAATCTCAAATAAAATGGTCTTTCCACAGTGTTCTTTGAGACGGCGTTTTTTTAATATTATTGTGAGCAATTTATTTAGTTAGAACTCTTTTAGTATGTTTGGAATTCCAACTCTTCCTTACGTTATTTCTACTGTATCTCTCATTATTACTTTTTAAATTTAAAACGTTTATAAAAAAATATAAATAATTATATAGCAAAAAATCACTCCTAATAAATAATTTAAGATTTTTTGAATCATATAGGGAAAACAATTTACTGCATCACTCCACGTACAATAACGTCATCAGTTGGAGTAAGGGACCCTTCACTCAGGTGGAGAATCTCGCGATGGTTACTTTCCATCAGGTGACCTGATTATGGAAAGTGACAACTGCTTGTCTGCCCCCTCTTCCATAAAAAAAATAGGTGAAAGTGGTCCATAAGTACATCGACATAGTCCCTATCATACAGCCTAATTAATTTAATTTCGTTACAAAGGTAAATTCACTTTTATCCGGTCGTATTGCAAGAAATTACATTGAATAATTCGGTATGCATATTTTTGCAGTTACTAAAAATATCTAATAGCAATGCAAATAACACTGGAGTGTGGTTAGATGCTGCAACCCACGCAAGAGAGTGGATTGGCACATCAGTTGTAACATTCATAGCTAATTACATAGCCAGGAAATTTTCAACGTTACCGGAATATATCACTAACAAAGATTGGTAATGTATTGTTTATAAAGTATGATAACTTAAAACGAAAAAAACAATCTACTTATGTTGGTCACAAACTAACAATAATGACTGTCAATTTTACTTTTACGTAAAAGGCTCACAAGTCATCATAAATAGTAATCGTTCAGGGCACTGACATGGTTATTAATTGTGCTTTGTTACCAAATGTGCAAACGATCCAGTCAAAATGTCACCACAGGCACAATTTTAAGTACTAACTTTTAAACTACCGCGGTCTACCATATATAATAATATTTATGGGAATTAACGCGCTCACGATAGGTATTAAGTACATACCTTTGAAATGCCTGAAGTTTCGACCAGGTTGCACTGGCCGAGGTTATACTGTGACTACGGCCAGGGCAATCTGGTCTATTTATATTATTATAGTAATTTCACATGTTCAGATATCAGCTGGCGCAAAATACGGATTAAATGTTATACTATGCCTTCAGGTATTAAAAATTAGTTTTAGTTGTTAGTTTTAAATGAACCTGGAAAAACTTCTTTAAGATGGTTCAAATATTTTTTGTGTTACTAGAGTTAAAAGTACAATCTTAGCTGTTTTCAGGTATTTCCTGCCAGTGGTTAATCCGGATGGCTTTCAGTATTCACATTTGCACGACAGAATGTGGCGCAAAAATAGAGCTTGCTATGGAAGGACCGTTACGGGCGTCGATTTGAATCGTAATTTTGGGTAAGTTTTATTATCTTAATATAGAAAATTCAAACAGCCTCAATAAAACTCTCCGCTTTTAGATTCTAGCAGATATTTATTTATTTACTAGTGTATGCACAATGTGCACAAAGGACTTGTATGTATTGTGCATACAGTACGGACGGACGGAGTTTATGGTAAAATCATTTTTTGACAGTCTACTTTCGGGTGATATAGAAATGAGTGAAGTAGGTGCATTCAAAAGTTTACGACAGAGTGTTATTCAAAGCAGAATACAGTTTTGATGTACACACAAACATGAACATATAATACCTAAATATATACATATGTATATTTTTATATATAAATATAAGAATGTACCTATTTAAAAATGTTAAGTTGGTTTGTGTAAGTTTCAAAAACTCAAAAAGTACTACACCGATTGAGTCAGACTTTGACACGAGATACATTAATGTTACCACCACAATGTGCCACAGCAAAGCATGGCAGGGAACAGCTAGTATATTTTTTAGAAACTATTAAATATTTTTACTTATACAGTAATATTACTTATATTTAGAGTCAAGTAGAGCACCATGCCTATTTTTAAATATATAATGTAAAACCTTCTACTGGCGAGAATCAAAATTTTAATGTGTTTTTCGCCTTATTTAAAAGGCGACAACTTGCGTATAGAACTTGCGCATAGATTATGCGCATACACTCAGGTCTTTTATAACCGAAAGGGTACACAGAGGCGTGCTGAGGCGTGATTCGCCAACTTTATTTTAAGTCCCACTTACGTAATATGGCGGCAAACCCTGTGATATGTCTAAATAAACATACTTCTAATATATAAAATTCTCGTTTCGCTTTGTTTGTTACCAAACTCCTCCGAAACGGCTCTACCGATTTTTATGAAATTTTGTGTGCATATAGAGTAGGTCTAAAAATCGGCCAACATCTATTTTTCATACCCCTAAATGATAAGGGTGACCCACCCTTAAATATATTTATTTTTATTTTTTTGACAATTTTGAAATAAAGAAAATACACACAACTTCAAATTTTCAGCCTTCTACGATCAACCCCGTTTTTATTTCCTAGAAAAAATGTATATGGCAAAACAACGTTTACCGGGTCAGTTAGTATATACATATATTCTATCAGTAATGACAGATGTCTATTTTGTAGTTATTGTTGGGAAAATACTGGTGCTGAGTCCGCAGCCATCGACCCGTACAGTATAAATTACCGAGGTCCATCTGCTTTTTCTGAACCAGAAACAACTGCTATTAAGGTATAAACTATTTTCATTAAACGTCAAATGTAACTCTATTCATTGATACATAAGTGAATGTGAATTTACGTGTGTCTTGTATGCCCGTTTAACTAGAGATCTTCTACTGGTCAAACTTCGACCATAATTTATTAAGTTTTATTTGAGGGGTATAGAATCAAAAGCAGCTAAATCCATCCACACTTTTTTTACACAAATACCAAAAAACATTTTTTTAAATTTTTACTTGGTAACTCTGTAGAAATAATTTATTTGGCAGTAGGCGCATGCAGTGATTTTACAGGTTTTTCAACACAATCATAATTAGCAGAAAAAGTAACCATTTAATTTAAATAATTGTGCTAGACATAGCTGTTTTTGATACCAAGTCCTGGATTTAGCTGTCTCTGATTCTGACTAGTATGGATATAGCTGATTTTGATTCCAACAAGAAGTCTATTGCTAGTGAAGTGTATCGTGATGATTCTGGGTATCGAGTTATTAGAGCAGATATGCATCAGAATTTTGAAAATACAAAGCAAAATTAATATTTTAGATTATAGTACGTTCGTTAGCTAATAAGGAAACCATAAAATTTAAAGTTGGAAACGTATGACAAGTTACGATTATGAATGTGCCAAAGTAATAGACATATGTTTTTGGCCTTATTATTTATTAAGAAAGTAGAAAATTATTCATCGTACGTAGTTGAGATACTAAAATCAAATCTAAATCCTTAGAGTATTATCTTCATTTTCTTGTCCTCTTTCACAAACGAAATGTGTACCTGCAATGCAACAGTTTTATCGAAACTGATTGATAGTGAGTACATCACTACTATATACCTACCTATCAATTTTTGCCATGTTTACTTTCCAATTTGCTGGCTGTCTCTTACGTTTTCGAACACTTTCTTGTGCTGCTTCGGTTACTGGCACTTCCATGGCACTAAATATTATCTTTTTTTATTTAAAATTGACCAAAAACGTTTAAAATTTTAATGAAAACTGCAGCAACGGACGCACGCGTTTGTATGACAGATGCACTATTAAAAATTGGACTTAGCTGCATTTGTTTCTGACAATACTGGATAAAGCTGACTTTGATTCTAACGAGTGAGTTCGAAGTGGTTTTTCTTTAAAAATAGCTGCGTTTAATACCAAATGGTTTACCTAACATGTACAAATTTGGATAAGGAATAAAATAGCGTTCATAGTTCTATACCTACCAGGCTATGGATTTAGCTGGCTTTGATTCTATACCCCTCATTTATTTGGTTTAATTCCAACGTAAAAGTATGTTTTGTTATGTGTCACTACGTACTTTAATATATACATATATGTATATGTTTTAGGCAGTATTTTTGATTTTTTTTTGATAAACTAGATTTTTATATTTTGAGTGCAAATTAACGTTTTATTAATTTTAGATAAAAAAATTCTACATTGTCGCGTTCGTAGATTTCGCTAGTCTGTGTGTGTTTGTATAACAAAACACAAATCTGGTTTGCAAGTTCGAATGCACTAAAAATAAGAGTAGCTGAGTAATATTACATTTTCAATTAGCTGAACAGAATACCAATTCCTTATCTATAGGAATACATTTTTTTTAATATGAAGGGATATTAAAAATAATGTTGTTTTTATCCAGTTAATCACGGGAGATAAGTCAATTCACGGCACTCGACAAACAATGAGTGCACTGTACCACCTACTTACATTTCTTTCAAGAAGCTATAACTTACTCTCTGCTTCAACTGAAACACGAACATAATACAGATGTCAGTATCATCTATTATGTCTATGGTCGCACAACATTCGTTTTTTTTACTTACAGTGATGTTTGAATCCATGTTTTAGTAGCATGCTACTACAAGTATAATGCTTTTATTTTACAGGACATCATTCTGTACTCCGGCACTCCATTCAAAGTCTTCTTGACATATCATGCATGTAGTGAAGTTATTGCTTTTCCTTGGTGTAACACGTCTGATCCATGTCCTGATTACGTTAATTTATTAGAAGGGGGAACGACTATGGCTAAGGTACGATGTGAGTTAACTTTAATTCTGAATTTGTGTTTTCTTGTAACATTTTCTTTGTGTTTCAGGCTATGTACGAGACCAATGGTCGCATGTACAAAGTTGGAAACTTCAAAGACATCATGTACCATGCTTGTGGGACAAGCATTGATTGGAGTTATGGAACAGCTCATATCCCCTTTTCGTATCTTGTGGAATTAAGGAGTAAACAAGACCGTTTCTTATTGCCCAAGGGTGAAATTTTAGATTGTTGTAAAGAAGCACTAAACGGTGTTATTGCTTTAATGGAATTTGTTGATCGAAAGAAATGTCTAAACTGTACCATAATTACTAAAGCTCTTCGGCAATAATTTTGTGAAATGCGTGAACTTAATTTATAAAGTGCAATGTAATATGACATAAATATAGAAAACTTTCTAAAAACCAAACACGATTTTTAATAAAATAGTTTTACTGTATCAAGAAACAACACATCGACTCAACAGATTAGGTAAAAAAATTCTACCAGACTATCTCACAAGCGGCACAACTCCGTTCCAGTTAAATTTCTACTCAATGGTCATCTACATATTCCATAAAACTGCTAAGACCATTCCAGATTTCAGTACAAGTTTCTATAATTTGCTCCTTTGGTAATCTGAATCTGTATTTTCTACTTCTCAACTCAACCATGTAAGAATAGGGTATCTTCGCTATGGAATAGCTCCAGTCTGTACTAGTACCGCAGGCAGTATACGTGAGGTCTTTTGTATTTCCCACTTTATAACTTTTTCCATTAGTTTCGTATATTGCCTGAAAAGAGATTAGGACAAATTTAACACCAAAAATATAAAAAAATTTTTTTAAGGATATGGCATGTTATAAACATAAGTACAGTATTGGTATCAAAACAATAGCTTAGGCTTTTTAATCTAATTGTTATTCAGTATACTTATAGGTAAGCTATTAGTGAACCATTAATGCAATTTCGTTGCATATAAAATAGCTTGTAATTGTGAAGAATTAAATTGTACAAATATACTAGATTGTTTATGTTAAATTTCGATTTGATATTAAGTTATATTTAAAATTTAAAAGTCTAGCTAGCACACTACGGACGCTAATGGCTCAACAATATTACAGAATGATGATGGCAATATGCTATGCAAAAGTCTATTCTACTAGCTCTCTTACGTGCAGTTACCCTGGACATTACTGCACCGCCTTCAAGTAAATTCAAATAGTCAGGTGGAATTTCGTCCCGACATCCCCACGGAAAAATAATGAGTTCAAAGTAACTATGGAAAGATAAAAATACTTTGAAAGGAGTTGTGGATCCCAAAATTGTGTCCTAAAAATAGTTAATCAGTTTAATCATTTCATTTCCAGGTAACATTTTTAATAAGTGATTGCAAAGAAATCCATAGTTTATACCCTGACTGCCATTGATTCAGGTTCTGAAAAAGGTTCCGGGCCTCTATAGAATACACTTGTTGGTTCTTTAGATGAACCTTCTTCACCGTTATTGCCCCAACCATAACTGAAATGAATCACAATTTTATTCGATCATTTTGGTTCATACCTCTTATCTAAGGAGAGGCCATGTCCAGCGGGGGACTATTAAAGGCTGTTGATAATGATATTGGTTCGTTATCTTACTTTATTATAATATTATTATTATATAGCACGTCAAGGAAATTAGTTTGAACTACTTTGGCACTGATTTTTGTTTGAAAGTTGGTTTCTATTTATTATATTTCTATATTATTTATTAAATTATTAAATCTTGATGAATTTATTAAATCGTGTCTATTCAGAATTAGAAAAAATAAGGTGCAGGTGGAAAAGTTACATCACGTTATGGTTTTGGTATGAAAAGGTATTTTAAATACATCTACTTTGTGATAGATAAAATTGAATGTATAAATTAATAACATTGTAATTTATGTTAACTACACTATGCTACGCTTTCTCGCAACAATCTACCGATCCTACCATTTAGATGGTAACTAAACATACTGATTCGACTAGACAGTGATCATGGTATTAACTATCTAATTGTATGTAAACAGACTTACCTAAAATTTCTGTTGAGGTCGACTCCGCAACATTTCCCCCCATACCTAGCCCTATTCTTTCTCCACATGCGATCACGCGTGTGTGTGTACTCATAGCCATCTGGATTTAGAACTGGTACTATATGCCTTAAATATTAATAAATTGGAATCTTTAAGCAATTGTATGGTAAAAACGTTAAAAAACTAAGATAAAAAAAATCAATGACAAATTTGATCAACTAAAACGAGGGTAGCATTACCTGCAAGTATCCGCCGGATATTATGAACTGTACAACAATGATGCAAGGTATCGTAAATAGCAAATAAAAAAAAATAGTAGTGAAGATGATATAATAATAAGTCTCGTAGATTACCAGTCCTTGTCAGTGATCGAAGAAGGAAGAGATTTGAAGTTTTTAACAATATAATTGGCAATGTATGTGACAACGGCGGTGCTGATCCATTCACGCGAATGTATTGCCGCGTCCACCCATATTGCCTCGTTAGCAGCGTTGCTGTTCGATATTTTTAACATCTAAAATATAAAACTTAAAATTACAATATTTTCACTGTCTAATTTTAAAAATAAATGAACCTTAATATTTGGTAACTTTGAGTGTAATGGAGAAAATTTAGTCTAAGTGGTAAAAACAAATATTATTTGATTGAGAAGTTCGTAAGAGCTTTGAAGAATGTGTCTGGTCGTTCCACTTAGAGTAAAGATTTATGGCATCTTCAAACATAAAACCTCAGTATTATCGGATGTGTAAGACCTCAGACCTCATCAGCTTTCTTCTGTTCCTTATTTCCTTAGAGTGAGACCTAAGAAAATGCGTCGCAATGAATACGTAACGCATTCGTCTAGCACGCCTGAGTTCGTAGGTTTGATACTTGTGCAATTATTATAATATATGAACATAATTATTAACTTTCTATAAATGTATCTATGCTAGCTTGTCTTTGTTCTAAGACCCACAGTCCAATACTAATATTTTTTTAAAACATAATATAAATTTACATATAACCTTAATGCTTCGCCCTTCGACTGATTTGCCAATAACCGACACTGTACAGATAGCTGGGAAGTCCCTTTCTAAATCTTCCAAAAATGAATATATCACGTTAAGCCTATGGTATCTTTTCCAATTCATAAATTTTGCTGCAATACAAGAAGTATTTAAATAACTCAAGAATAAATATAGTCTTGTTATTAGTCTCGGAATCGATTCCTGGGTCAGACCAAAGTATATAAGTATTCCATCAGTCAATCCAGCTTTCATAATAAAAACTCTGCTTAGTTTAAAACTAGATGGCCTTGTGTGTCAAATTCAAATATCTTTATTTTATATTTAAAAAAAAATTGTTTGAAATCGTATTTTATGTAGACTCTAAAGTCGTAGATCAACACACAATAGCAACAATCTCTGTTTTATCGATCAGTTTACCGTGACACATTTATTTTCTGTAACTATGCTGCCGCAAAAACTTTTACTACCCGTAATAGTATGTTAACATACTTACTTTTTTTTCTCTTCCTGTGGTGTAATACGATTCCTGGGATTAGCGGTAGTTTTGTTAACATGGCGCGGCGGTCTGAAAATCAGGATATAAGTTGTCATTTGAATTGCACAGATGGCGTAGTGGTTTAAGCGGTCGCCATGCCGCTACCTACTATGCTAAGTGCTGTGGGTTCGATCCCTACATGGGACGACACTTTGTGTGATTCACACATTGTTGTTATGAGTCTGGGTGTTCTTTGTTTCCGTTTCATGTATGTTTTTAAAGTCACCCGCGACACAGGATATATTCCTAATGTGAGTCTTTTGAAATAAGAAAAAATGAATAATAAGGATTAACACATAGGGTTCTCTTAATCCCGAAAGTAGTAGAAAAGTAGTGTTCCTGTGGGATGAGCAAGAAATTGAAAAATGTGAATATTTATTTACCTGATAAATCGCACCACCGCGGGGTGCAGCTAGTGACTGTTTATTTGTAATTGTACTCACCTGTACTGCTGCGCATAGTTTGCGTGCTAATTTCAGTTGACTCCAATTGTGCAGACTGTGGCGACTCTTCTGGGCTCTCTTCATCTTTATCGCTATATATGAAGAACACTTCATTGTTCTTATGTTGAGAACATGCGGGATCCATTTTTCTGCTCACTCTTTCAGTTTGTAATTAGTTTGTCTCTTCTACAAGCCGCAGAGCTGCCATCAGGGGTGTAGGGGTCAGTATTTTCATATAGCATAATATATATACATGTACTATAGAGGACTAAGAAAGGAGTTAATATCCAAAAATGATGTAAGATCAGTGACCCAAGTGACAATAAAAATGAGTAAAAATATTTAAATGCACAGGTGATTGAATGGTTTAGGTGGTTAATTTGACAATGACGGTGAGCATTGTCAATAGAACCAACGTGTGAGATTTTATTTGTGTTATTCAGAGATGATTTTCCTCTAATTCTGATATGTTTATTCATTTATTCTCTAGTATGGGAGCTTAAAACGATGTGGATAATAGTAAAACAACGTTATAAATGTACTTATGGTAAAAATCAGAGCTGTGAAAAGTTGCCATATTTACTAAACATTCCCCAGAGTCAGCAGTTCAAAAAAGAGAAAAAAAATGTTAAACTATGATAAGCGGCAAATAAATCATTTTACGTTTATGAGTTAGAACTGTAAGATTTATAAAAATCGTTAAGATCAAAGAAACGGTCCTAACTCCGATTGAGTGAGCAGAGAGTAAGTCACTGAATAAAAAAAAATCGGTGCATTAATAATACCTATTATTTAATGATCTTTTACTAACCTTCACTGATATTTTTATTGGAAATAATCACCAGTAGCAAATTAGGATTGCAAAGGTTGGAGTTTATCAGAACCTTCTGGATCTGTCGTTAAAATATTTCTAACAAACAAAGTGTTTTATATATGACCGCAACATAAACATAGTGCTTGGTACTCAAACGCTGCTTTCTTTTCAATGTATTTTATAAAATGAGATTATATTGGATACCTTTCATCATACATATCTATAATACAAGTAAATCACTGTAAAACTACATAAAATTTATAAAAATATTTTTAATAACTAACACATGGCACTATACATGCACAGATGACGTCTCTGGTTTATAAGGTTTGTATCTATGGATGCCGTCAAAATGTATCTGTTAGACAGACACATAAGTCAAGTTATTGCGAGGTTACAGAAAAAAGATTCGTTATGAAAAACTTACTTATTAATAATAACTTAATATAGGAAAAAAAAACATCTCGCAGACTATACAGTTACAAGGCTGCTGTTAAAGGTAATTATAAATATTTTGAAATAGACATATCACATATTAGATTAGATAGATAATACATTATCATCATCATCATTTGTTTACTTTACCCCAATTTTATTTGGGGTCGGCGCAGTAAGTATGATTCTTCCATTCTACTCTATAGAATAAATAAAATAAAATTATAAATAAATAAATAAAATTCGTCATCTCACTGTTCACTCCCTTCCTAGCCATATCTTACTAACACAGTCCATCCACCTTTTCTTTACTCTTCCTCTCCTCTTCCTCAACTTCCATACCTAACACTTTCTTCCACACATTTTCCTCATCCCTCCGCATGACATGTCCATACCAAGATAACCTATTACGTCTTAATTTTTCATCCAGTGGCGTGACTTTCAGACGCTCTCGTTTATAGAATATGATAGTTTTATAAATTTGTTCTTTATTTGTATAAATTTGTTCAATGTTAATCGAAAACTGGGTCACAAATTGTACACGTTACCTGCCGCCACTTCATCCATCACGTATTGATTCGCCGCTATACGTTCGATCGATCTCACCGTTACATTGTAAAAGGGAGCGGAGGTACTTGAAATTGGAGCAGACTATTATCGCTAACCCATACAGCAAAATGGTTTCAGGACTGGAGAGACCGCCGAAAGCACAGAACATGTACCTACTCAGTTTAGGTTCCGCTGATTTTAAAGCCAATATTCTTCAGCCTTTGGTTTCATTTTTCCAGTCTGCTCTGGACCTCACCCCAGTCTTTACCGACCAACACAATGTCATCTGCAAACACCATGCAGCAAGGTGCCTCCTCCTGTATGTCCGATGTCAGAGCATCCGTTATCAACAGGAAGAGGTATGGCTCAGAGCCGATCACTGGAGCAAGACTACAGAAACACTGATTTGTTTTTTTTTTATTTGATTTGAAACAGTGTTTCCCGTGACCCACCTTACATGAGTGCTAGACTCTCTGTTCATAGCACGAATCAATTCTACATACTTAACAGGCACTCTTTATTCTTTCAAAGCCCACCACATAAACTCTCGGGGTACTATATCATATGCCTTTTCAAGGTCCATAAATACCATATACAAGATTTTGTTGTGTTTTTCATATAATGTTTTTGTTTTTCACAAATATGGCATTTGTTGTACCGCGTCATGGCATAAAAAAAACACTTTCCTTCAGATTTTCATGGTATTGGGAGGCCCGGGAAAAAGCCATTATGAAATATTTTGTCTATTTTTAAGTTTGTTAGAGTAAGTGTATATTATAAACGTTTTCGTTTGTGTTTGACTTTTATTTAGTCACTTTTAGATCTACAACAAATAATAATTTATAACATATTAATGATCTTTGAATAAATAAAATAAAGTTGATTTACGCGTTATCTGTTTATTCGCTAACCCATTTTAAATCACTCAACGAATTTTGATGGGATGTTAAACAATTAGATAACAATAAATTTACAAGACTCACGTAAGCTAAGTACTTACCGTAATAATCTTGATCAGGTGGCTAGCTCTAAATAAAGTGAAATTACGAATAGAATAACGTATCTCGCTCGAGTCCGGTCGTACCAAATATTTATATAGAAAAGGAAATAGGGAAGGGAATGTAACTACTTACATAGTAAATTGAAACATTAAAACTCAAAGAATATATTAAATATATATCCAAACTAGCTTTTGCCCACGGCTTCGCTCGCATAAAATGACAATTTTGTTAATAAATTTGACCGGCATAAATAGTAGCCTTTGTGCTATTCTAAAATATAATCTTTCTATGTGCTAAATCTCGTCCAGATCCGACAACCCGTTTTGTCGTGATTGAGAACAAACATACATACGTTTTGAAAAGTTAAGTTTGCACCCTTATGGGTGGAATTTTTCTTTGTGCACACCTACGTACCTAAGGAATATTTGTGCAAAATTTCATGCTTCTAGACCCAGCGGTTTCAGCTGTTGATCGATCAGTCAGTGAATCAGTCTCAGTTTCTTCTTTTTGTATAAACGAGTATAAATTTGTACTCTTCATTCAGTAAAACACAGTCGATCATAAAACATAAAAACTAACAAACTTTTTAAAAATTACAGCTTAATAAAATGTGTTGCTAACAAAAAGGTCCAAACAATGCTACGGTCGAACTCGCGAACGAATTTTGTGCTCCGATTAGAAAACCACGGGCAGAAAACTCGGCGCAGCTGGTTGCGTTGCGGTGTGCAGCCAATCACACGAGAGCTATGTCACGCTGTGAGTGCCCTACCATGATACCTAAGTCTAGAGATCGCTGCAATATCGTTGCGAGGCAATTGTGTTTTCATGTTAATGCCAAGGTGTTGAAATATATGGCGTTCTTAGGTCTCGACTAATGAAAACTCTTGTAAACGTATTGCCCAAGCGTTATAACATAGATTTTTTTATTTATGAGGGACATAACAATCACAGTTAGTCGGGCAACCGCTTAGTTTCAGACGGCAAAGTGCTTGTTCGTTAATGCAGTCGAATTACGAAGATATTGATGGATGATCTGTTGATGGATGACTGATGACTTATACTTAGGCAATTTAAAACTACATGAAACTATTTTAGGTTTTCTTTAAACCAATTTTTTAAAATATCAAGCATCCAAATGATAACTAAGCAATATAGTAACGATATCGCTTCCACTCTCTAACATTTGGTTAAAACTTGGACGTTGAAGTTTGATTCGCCGGTTCTGGATTCTGTAGTAGCTAGTCACACTAATTGCTGACGAATAATGAGATTGATTGTAATGGACACAGCTGACAACTGCTATACTTTGCTTTTTACAATTCTAATTGGATCGCGTAATTTGACAAGAAAGCTCTCGGTCTGTGCGAGAACTGGACTTGTTGAAACGTTTACGAAGCTTTGCACTGCATTTTGTATTTAAAAGGGCGATTAATAAATCATTAGGGTTTATAGACAAGAATTTAACAAGCACTTTTATGGTTGGTAGTATTGGTAAACCTAAACCTATTACTAAAAAAAATATTTTATTACATTTTTAGTAAATCAATTAATTTAAATTTACACTCTAATAAGTTTTAAATCTTACGATTAGTATTTTAAATACTTTTATGCGATATATAATTAATTCATCAGCAGCCAATCATATTAAGATATCAAGTTAGACGGGTCAATAAATCTGGCCAGCGTGGTAGGTATAGTAGGCCAAAACCTCCTTTCTAAGGAGAGGCCTATGTCCAGCAGTGCACTATTGAAGGCTGTTGATGAGTAATGATGATGATGATAATTGCAATTTGTGTAGTGCCGTATATTTTTTCTTTTATTGTTTTTCGTTCAATTTATTGCGTAGCATTAGGAATCTTTTGAGACCATTAGGGTACCATCAAGCAGATGTAAAGCTTGTTATATTAGTATTTTATTTTCATACATAACATTGGAGTGGCGAAACGTAGCAATGTAATTTTGTAGGCGAAATTTTGGGTTTTATTAAACGCAAAACTACTTTAAGACAACAAAAACACATTTGGTATATTTTCACCGAACCGTCCTTTTCTAGACCGATTTGTAAAAGTAGTTAAGTTATGTTAATCTTTCAGTTCGAGATCCAAATATGTTATCAAAATATGTTTGTTTTGTCACATCTTTTGATTTATATCGTTCGATCTAATGGTAGTTTAAATCCAACCGAGAAACTCAGTACGCCAGTCGTTTGTACAAAAGCACAATATAATATGTACAATGTGTCTTAAGAAATCTGGAATTGTACATCCCTTTTTGACAATATAATACTGTAATCTCTGACAGATCCATATAATGCCTTAAAGCGACTGGGGTTTGCTTTTAATGTGA